GCTTACAGACCTTAACTATATTGTGTCAACTATTTCAAATCAAATCAAAAAAAAATTATTCGACGTAAATGAAAGTACACACTTGTTGAACGTCAAAAAGAACTACCGACAATTCACAAAAATTAACCTCCCTCCTGAGAAGAACTGGCAAGAAACTCAACGGACATATATTTTTTTTTTAATTATTAGATTTTTTTAAATATTCATTTTTACAAGATGTATTATAACGTAACAATTATTGCAATATTGAAATGCCCGGAGCGAGCAACTCATTTCTGTTATAAATCACGAAGGAAAATTAAACAGTCTTCAAAGTTTGTAATTTACAGTGCATCTACTCGTATCCAGCAATGCGACTGTGCCGATGTTCAAACCCGGCAGGCAAGTACCAATCTTTCTAATAAGTAGACATAACTTCTTTTTTTATGATTAAAGGATTACTGGTGGCCCGGAGGCCTTTTCAGTTTCACCAGGACAGGTGGGCGAGCAAAGGCTCAGCCAGGAGGGGTGGGATTTGCTAACAGCTACCCGAGCGCCTCCGAAGGAGACCTAACAACTCAAGAGTAGCTGCTTCGCGAATGAATCTACTACCGGATCGGAATCGCGACCCGCTGAGAAGATCCGGCAAGAAACTCAGCGGGCTGATGCATGGGTTAGGTTGCACGTCGACCTCCTTGTCGAGTTCGAGGAGTACGGTTACCAGGCTCCCTAAGTAAACATAACGTATTTAACACATCACGAATAACTTTCACGGTGAGAAAATAACATCGTGTAATTAAAGTGAAACCCAGGAAACTTATGATACAGATAATTAAAAGTGATACGTTTTCTTGTGATCCTTACTTAGTCTTTATCAGTGGCATAGCGAGCTCAATTCGATTGCTTCTAAACTAAATTTTCCTCAATGTATTTTAAGAGAAAGATCATATTTTTAAGCATTTAATACGAGATATCATATATGTATCTACCTAGTCCAGTCATAAGCTTTGTTACAAATGAAAATGCCTTTTTTTAATGAATTAATGTAATCTAAAAATAAAAAAATATTCTATTCAAAATGGCCACCTTTGGCTTTTATACAAGCCTTTAATCTGTTTGGCTACGAATCTATGGATTTATGCACTGCTTCCAAGGGAAATTTCACCACTGCTTGCTTCAAATATTTTTAAGAGACTCAATGTCGCCGTGTCTTTTAGAGCAGGCCATGTCCTCTAAAACTGACTATAATTTGAAGTATAAAGGGCTGGTATAAAGGGTCTGGCTCTTATAAATTCCGGTAAGTTGGTTTTAAGCCAGGCTTGTGTAGTTCGTGCCTTGTGACCAGGTACAGAGTCCTACTGGAAAGTCTACGGTATATATTCAAAAAGTTTATTGCTAAAAGGTTTCACAACATGACCCGAGACTGTATCTTGATACACTTTGGCAGAAATCTTCACTCCTTTTTCACAAAAATGTAGTTTTGTGACTCCTTGATATGACACGCCACACCAAACCATCACTGACGCGGGATGATGATCACGTTGTACTTTTCCGACCTCTTGAGCAGCTTCTTTAGAACTGTGAGCGTACACTTTATCATTTTGCTTATTGCAGTGTTCTTTAATCGTGAAAATGTTTTCATCGGTAAAGAGAATATTTCTGTGATTTCTTTTTATCGCGACAGAAGGCGTTTTGATCGATCCATTCTCTTTAATTGTGAAGATTAATTTAGGGCATGTCCGGTATATCGACAATAAGTACCGAGCTTCAGGTCTTGTTTTATAATACGCGACAGAGTCCTAATGGGAATCTTCATTTCTCGCGATAATACTTTTTCCTTCCTGATGGGGTTTCGACGAATTCTGGCTTTAACAGCATTAAGAGCCTTTTTAGTTCTAAGACCACGCCGCCGCCCCGATCTTTTCTGGTCTTCGACAGACGAGGTGTTGTTGGATCTGTGATAGTAAGAATTACGAACATACGGCTGATACCAAGCTTTTGAAGTGTCTGGAATATGACCGACGGCTCCGAAAGTGGGTACCTACTTTGTGCAAGGCGATCACTGCAAATCCTAATTTCTTTAAAATCTCATTCCATATTGTAATTTGTATGTATATTGTAAATGGCTCAAAATCGAAAGAAGTTTTTAAAATAATATACGTGTTCCCAATTCAAAATAACTAAAAAGTTGAAAAATTTAAAAGTTTTTATGTAACAGTATTTTTGGCCAGACTAGTTATTTAAAAAAGAGAATGTGTGTTTTTTGTTAGATAAAATATTTAAGCAAAAACGTGTCAACCCTGCTTGTCAGGTGATGGCTGGCAGGCGCCGGTGGCAGACGGCGGTTCACAACACGACATTGAAACCACTCAAATCAACCCATACCGCATAAATAATAATGATTGTTTCTCACCATTTATATTAACGTAACTTTTATGAGTTGGTAAATGTTTGTTTTGTAGTTATTTTATGACTTCACTCACATATTACATAAACAAATTACCATTTCTGTCGAAACAGTATTAGGCAATCGATCAAAAAACTACCAAAAGGTCATCTAAGATAACAAGACTAGAGTTTCTTGCCATCAGGTTGGCTGTGAGCTCGTCCACCCATTTAAGCAATAAAAATAAAATAAAAGGTTTTTCTGCCGTGAAACTACACACCGAATTGGATCCCACCGAGTTTCTCGCCGGATCTTCTCAGTGGATCGCGTTTCCGATCCGGTGGTAGATTCTGCAAAACATTGCTCTTGCTAGGGCTAGTGTTAGCAACGTCACCAGGTTGGAGCCCCGTGAGCTCACCTACTCGTTCTGCGAATCTAGTATAACCCCTCGAGGTTACTGGAATAGGTACAAAAAAAACCGAATCGGTGATAGCCATTTATATACTCAAAGCACCCATTAATATCTATTTTCAGATAAATATGTAGGTTAAAATTAAGTGATTTTTCCATTAATTACGGAACTAATCAGGCTTTATCTCGATCAGACAGTCGCACAAATCTTGCGGTACCCAAAATTAAATACTTAATGTACGTAATCATTTTAATTAACATTAAATGTTATTTTCGTATGTATTTACAACTACAAAACTTGTAGAATACTTAATACATTAATTAGGATCTAATTGATAACAAAACTATTTTTTTATCACTAATTGGCTGAATAAGCTCACAGTGGTGCTTTATTAAATCTGGAGCCCAAAGTCAATGGGAATGCCGCAAGCCTTCTTGAGTGAGGTTTAAATTTTGTATCGTAACGATTGTGCCACCTTTAAAACTGAAACAAATGTTTTCTTCAAAGCAAAAATAGACACGTGCTAACTACGGGTACGAGTTTTCTATACGCTTAGTAGACTTGTAGGCATAATAGGTACCGATATTTTTGAGTGATATTTATTTTATTATTGTTTTAATAAATTAATGAATTTATCGTGTTAATTATTAGTTATATTATTAGTTATATCAGAGAAATAAAGCTTTTTTTATGAGTACGGGGGGTGGCGGGCGGCTGTGCCCGAGGATACCACAACCCTCGCTCATTTTCGCACTCCCACATGGCTCCGTAAAGCCATAGTTCCGCGGCACCTGGGATCCTCTTAGCAAACAACCTGCCAGAAATACTATTTGTTCTTCCTGTGTGCAGAGCTAGCTCCAGAAATAAGTTTTTTTATCGAAAAATAAACGATAGTTAGTAAAATGTCGACGAATAACACCTGTGGTCTCAATCACGAGTGGCACGTGAAGTATTCAAAGCGTCGCTAATAATATAATGACAATAATACAAAGAGAGTTTAAACCGTCATATAGGTACGATTGTTTTACGAAATCGTTTTCATAAAGATTGTGACGTAACTTTTTAACTAATAATAATAACTACCTAAGCTGATGGCTTTGAGAGACCCATTTCAATGTAACCCTAACAAGTACGTGAGCTGACGGGACTCAAACCTGACGACGCTGCTAACACTAACTCCAGCAAGAACAGTGCTTCGCAGAATCTACCACCGGATCGGAAACGCGACCCACTGCGAAGATCCGGCGAGAAACTCAGTGAGCTATGTCTGTGGGTTAATTTAGTCGTCGAGCCCTTCGTCGCGAGCAACGGGTTCGACGAAAACGATGCCAGTGCTTAAGGTACCTAAAAGCACCGTTAGTGGATCGGGAGAATTCGAAATGACGTGTTTTGGGCGAGGTCGACTATTTACCATTTGGTCCACAGGATCGGGAAGGTAGTTATCGGCGATGACGTAACATGTCGATGATGATTATTCATTATTATTACCTTTGGTGACCATTGGTTTCTAACTTATGCCAGATTTATAAGTCTCGGCTAAATAGGATAAAAAAAATTGGTGCGTCAATATTCGCTCTCAAATCGCACTGATAATTATAATCGATAATCATTAATGAAAATATCAGTATCGATATTTGTAAAATACGATACATGTATCGATGATTTTTGGACTTTTCGACATCTCTACTTGTTGGTCCAGTAGTTTTACTCTCGTGTATGATTGTGTTCGCGTTTCATTACGAGATCACTATTTTTGTGGATTTTTGTGGAATAAGGTTTTTATTTTCATTTTAGACAAGTATCTGAGCTTGAGCTGCTATATTCTCTTACACACAAGTGGGAGTTCGGGTGTGAAAATAACGAAATTTTCAAAGACCATTTTTAAAGTAAAACTTTTATTACATCGTCTCAAACTTTTTCGTCTGTGTGTTGCATGTCGCGTGACGGTCGGCCCCGGAGTAGGGATAAAGTGAAAGGCGCTCGTCAGAGCAGCCAAGGCCAATATGGCGACGCCTATAATTCGCAGCAGCTGACCGTGTAGTGTATAGATTATTACTCATTTGTGTCAGTGCTCCACGCTATTTTGTTTGTTTTTGTCAGTGTTTAAAGTCTATAATGTGAAAAAAAGTTGCACTTTTACCGTGATTTCATAAAACCACACAATCCTTTTTTTCTAGGTAACGTTCCTCTTAAAGAAGAAAGAACAATAATGAAAAAGACACAGCTTTAAATAATAAAAAAATAATTTAATCCAAATCTCACAGCATTAGCGAACTTAACAGCGGTAACGGTTCACGATTTTTGTTCAGTCTGTATCGGAAGCGGTGCAGGCGCCCGGCGGCCGCCACCGCGCCTCCCGACCCCCCACCCCCCACACGCGCCACCCCGGCCCCCGCACGCGCCCCCCCGCCCCCCGGCCCGGCGGGCGCGCGGCACGCTCGCACGTTAATGCTGATGCGCGCGTCGCACCGGAACTTGGTGGGTTCGAACACGGCGTCCCTGTGGACACTCCGGTTGGTCCTCGTCGAAGGTATCAATCTGAACTTCGGTCTCCTCGGCACGGGACGTCGGGGAATGCACACCGAATCCTCTTCGGTCTTCTCGGCAGGAGAGTTATCGTTTTTGACTGCTGCTGAAATAAATTAGTGGTATTGAAAATAATTACTTTTTTTCCTGTTAATAGGTAATAAATAGGTCAAGCTGAGTTAAACGGAGACACCGATGACGGAGTGGGTCAAGGGTGTACTTTGCACCGTAGGAGGGTTGTCAGATGTGAACAAAATAATGAAATAAAATAGTACTATCTGACTAAAACTTATAACTCATGTCTCTAGGTGCGTTTACATTGTTGATGTCCATGGGGTTCGGCAACCAGTTTACTAGGTGAACTACGAACTCGTTTGCCCGTCTAAGCAATAAAAAAAATCTCAAACAATTCCTCTGTGAAATGAAATTTTTCCACTCAGCATTTCTCCTCAGTCGAGTTGAGGAAGCAGCTGTCAAGCTCAAGTTACCTCGAGATATGCTTTTGAGGGCTCTAAAAAAGTTCACGTTATTGTTTATTGTTTTCATTTATTTATTATTGCCCTTGTAGGCGATCGAGCAAACAGCCCACCTGATGGTAAGTGGTTACCGTCGCCCATGAACTTCAGCAATGCCAGGGGCACAGCCAAGCCGCTGCCTACCGTTAAGTACTCTACACAAGCCTCGTTTGAAGAAGGACATGTCAATGGCATGTCATGTGTTATTTGTTCACCCACGCATGTAACTGATTCAAATAGTAGTAATAATTAATTTTCCAATATTTTCATTCATTTTTAACGTCAAAGGTCCTCAAGGTGACAGATTCCATGAGGTGATCACGAACATAGCCTCGATTGAGTCGAGGAAGTTTCGTAAGAGCGCCTTAGAATATTTATAGCTGCATTTACCTGAGACGGGGAACACAAGCCGCCTGGGCAGTATAGACTCCCCCAGCATCTCGTACATGGTGTAGTCGGTGGTGACGTAGTCTTCCAAATACGTCGTGGGTTCAGATCTGAGGAGACACGTAGAAGCATCCTGCGAAGAAAATAACACAAGTCTTTAATCACGACAACATAGAACGCTTCCAGAAGGCAGCAGACGAGATTCAACAGCAGATAATTGAAGACATGAATGGATGAAGGTGATATGATACAAATTGTATATTTGTACTTTTTCTTCGTCGAACCCGTCGCTTGCGACGAAGGGCTCGACGAGCGAATTAACCCATTGACACAGCCCACGGAGTTTCTCGCTGGATCTTCTCAGTGGGTCGCGTTTCCGATCGGGTGGTATATTCTGTAAAGCACTGCTCTTGCTTGAGATCTTAGAACTTATATCTCAAGGTGGGTGGCGCATTTACGTCCTAGATGTCTATGGTCTCCAGATAGCACTTAACACCAGATGGGCTGTGAGCTCGTCCACTCCCATTTAAGCAATAAAAATAAAAAAGCTTCGTGCTTTGAATAGGCAGGGAGGTAGTACCAACCCGCGTGGACTCCTCATATAACGGAGGGGGATGATAAAGAGAAAATTCTGACCAGTATAGCCTCCCTGAGCATATACATTCCGTGGTGGGGCGGGGGTCGTGGGCCCTGCATGCACTCGTCCAAGTAGTCCAGGTAGTCCTCCAAGCACTGGGCCAGCGCCGTTCTGCCGAGCGCCGTCACGCACTTGATCATGGGCGCCGTCAGACGGTCACGGGTGCCTTGCGACAAATAATCGTACAGGATGCCCTGTCCTGGAATTAATACATACAACGATATTCGTTTGGACGATACTCAACAAGAAGGAACCAAAAAAAAACAAAAACAAAATTTTAAATTTGAAAAAATATCATGACAAAAAACTTCATCAGCTATTTCAATGGAGTAAGCTACGATCTACTCATTTGGACAATACTCAACAAGAAGGAACCAAAAAAACAATAATAAAATTTAAAATTTAAAATTATATCATGACAAAAAGCTTCATCGGGTATTTATTTCAATGGAGTAAGCTCAATTAAAAATATCGAATTGTTATGATGCTAATACCAAATAAAACGGATCTATAATTACAAAGATGTATGTCGCGTGTTAAGCAAAATGTCGTCTTTCACCATCGAATATTCTTTTCGACGTTTCAAACTTTACTATTCGTAGTCACAGGCAACAGAATTTTTTTTTTAATATAAGTAGGTATGTGATTGTAATTACCTATTTTAACAAAAGAAGGCCAGGTACGTGTGATTTTCGTTAATATCGCAACCATCTTCTCGGCTAACGTTCCATTACCCAATATATTTGAGACCATCACAGGAAACAGCCTTTGGAACTGGAAAAAATTGTAATTTTTATTTTAATTTAATGCATACATATGACCAGTCTCGCTACCCCATCCGATGCCAAACAACAACAAAGACACAAAGCAAATTGCGTCATCCGTCTCGGGGCATAAGATAGAAGTTTCCATAGCTATAAAACAACCGTCAAGCTCTACAAACCAGAACATGCGGCTGCGTAAGGGCGGAAATAATCAGCGGTGGTATTGACGCATAAGACTTACAATATCCACAGGTTCAGTAATTAGAACGGAACATCCGTAAAAACCACTGTACATTTATATATTAGTATAGATATCTCAAGGTGGGTGGCGCACTTACGTGGTTATTCTTTTTTTTTTTCAATGGTTACTGGAGCCCATAGACATCCACAACGTAAATGCGCCACCCACCTTGAGATATAAGTTCTAAAGTCTCAAGTATAGTTACAACGGCTGCCCCACCCTTCAAACCGAAACGCATTACTGCTTCACGACAAAAATAGGCAGGGTGGTGGTACCTACCGGTTCGAACTCACAAGAGGTCCTACCACCAGTAATTACGCAAATTATAATTTTGCGGGTTTGATTTTTATTACACGACGTTATTCCTTCGCCGTGGAAGTCAATCGTGAACATTTGTTGAGTACGTATTTCATTAGAAAAATTGGTACCCGCCTGAGATTCGAACACCGGTGCATCGCTCAACACGAATGCACCGGACGTCTTATCCTTTAGGCCACGAAGACAATACCAAGGTTTAAAAAAAAAAAAAATTTTTTACTTGCTGTTGTATATTTGTATCCAGACTGCAGGGGTTAGAGCAGAGCGCGTCCACCATGTCCAAAACGTTGGACTGCAGCGGTTTCTTGGCGGGAACGTTGAGAGCATTTAGGTTGTCATCGTTTAGCACCAGTACGGCCAGGTTGAAGAGGTTCGGGAATATCGGACCTATCCTTGTGTTCGTCAGCAGATCTTCGACGGCTACTTCCTTTGGTTTCTTCCTTAGGTTCAATATGGCTGAAATATTAACAGTTGATTTATTTCAATTTCTAACGAAATACAAATTGATGCTAAGTTCCGTTATCACGACACTTAAGGTAGCCTTCGGTATCACAATTCAGTTCTTTCACTTAGCTTGAGGTGATTCTTTTGGTGTTTCGCTTCGAATAGAACTGATTACTAACTAGCCTGCATCCGTGTAGTCTTTGCAAAGACTTTTACTGGTGGTAGGACCTCTTGTGAGTCCGCACGGGTAGGTACCACCACCCTGCCTATTTCTGCCGTGAAGCAGTAATGCGTTTCGGTTTGAAGGGTGGGGCAGCCGTTGTAACTATACTTGAGACCTTAGAACTATATCTCAAGGTGTGTGGCGCATTTACGTTGTAGATAGATGTCTATGGGCTCCAGTAACCACTTAACACCAGGTGGGCTGTGAGCTCGTCCACATATCTAAGCAAAAAAAAAAAAAAGCTTTTACAGTCGACACGAGCTATCTCTAATTTGCCAGAACACTTTCGATAACACTAGGTAGTCGTTTCTATAAACGTTTCTGCTTTGTGGCGACAGATAGCGTTACTCGCACTGGCATAACGTCATCATCATCAGCCTGCGGCAGTCTACTGCTGGACATAGGCCTCCCCTAAAGCTCGCCACTGAACCCGATCTTCGGTTCTACGCATCCAGTCATTGCCAGCTGCCTTGCACAGGTCGTCGCTCCATCTAGCAGGAGGGCGTCCTACACTACGTTTGCCGGTTCGCGGTCTCCACTCCAGAACACGTCTACCCCAACGGTTATCGGTTCTGCGACATATGTGACCTAGGCATAACGTACAATCTCTTAAAATTTGCGGTATTCCTTCAGTAATATAAGGACATATCTGAGGTCTAATGAAAGTGTAATTGTATCTTTTGACAGATAGGGCCAGTGGTTACCAATTAGATGACACAAAAAGACAATGACATTGGCAACGAGCCAACATTATTAAAGCTCTTATAGCTTCCAAATGTGTATTCCCTCCGCAGATGTGTATGTAACTAGTAATATTTCGAACTCACCTCTGGCTACTTTAGTGTAGTAATTATGTAGTTGGACACTTATATTACTACTACTACTGCTTAAACTTTTGTCGTCCATTATCCATTCGACGGATATCGTGGGAGGCGAGCAATACACGTAGGTCTGCGTGGATAGGGCGAATTCCGTTACATTTAGAAGATGTTCCTGTAATATAATTTTTAATTATATAAAGTCGGTCTTGTTTCGCAGTTCAAATAATCATTTGAAAAACACTGTTAGAACAATTTTCTGTTATTTATTGCATAAATAAGTGTCTGAGCTCACATCCAATCACGTATTAAATGGTTACTGGAATTGCCCAGTCTCAATTGTATCACATAATAACTAAAATCAGAATACATAGCTACACAAATTTGTGTGGGTGAGATCACAAGATCTCACTCACTAATTCAATTCGCTGGTCACTTATTTTATGTTGATGATAATCAGAACATCTTAACGGAAATAGTCTGTCAATATATTAATCTGAATAGATAAGTATACGACTACTGTATACCCAAACTTCCCTAATATTGGTCTGTAATAGCAGCATAATCAGTTTTCATATCTAATTTCTTAATTCTTTACCCCTTAATTGCTATACTCTTGATATACACTAGACATGCACTATTTAAAAATGTACAGCCAAGGTCAGAGTCTTGTTTAAGTTCAATGGTTTCTGGAATTACAAAAAAACTGTTAAGGTCCCTATCAAAATCTCAATTGTATTGTAATATATTGGATATGGCTTGTTAAACGGTTTTATTTAGCTCGACCCGTACGGAATTTGTTTTTTATTTATTTGGGTCAAAATTAGAAATTGAAATTTAAGCACCTTCCCGTTGTCAGATTGATCTGAAATTTGGTACACACATGTAATTTAGATGACAATATAATATAATAAAATCAATAACATTATAAATCTAAGATGGCCGCCGATACAAAATGGCGGATTNAAGCAAACCCTGGTGTTAGTGTTCTTTCATGAACTGCCTTTCGGCCGCTGACATGGTTCATGTTATGACAACCACTACCATCAGAGATATTAATGACCGAGATCACTTACGTAGGTTGATAGGTAAGTAACTATTTATTTATTTTGTAGTTTTCAGTGCACATAAAACCGTTTAACTTAAAAGTTTTTTTACCGATTTTTATTTTAGTCAATAAAATAATAAAGCTAAACTTACAATTTGACAGCAATATTTGTTATCATCTCCAAAGGAAGCATACTGAGATCCACATGCTCCTGCCACAGGACTAGTGTCGGTTAACATAAACACAGTATTGACATCCCATGCGTCGACACGTGACTTTTTCATCATCTCACTATGTAGGGCTATGGTCTGTAAAAACGACATTAATGTATTCAAAAATATTTTTTTATAATGTTTAAATAAATGCATAAGAAAATAATTGAACTTTATTATTATAGCTGATGGTATATCATATAGTATGAATTCTGCCTCCCACTTTGAGACATGAAGTTTTTATCTCAATTGTTTTCCCTAATAGTTTCTAGTTAGCTAGCACACCAGAAATAATGTTCCTTCCTATTACTTTACACCCTACCTCAATCCATAAAATATTTATATATTTAATAATACCATACTTGCGAACAAAAATATATTGCATTTCTGGATTTCTATTGGGATATTAGTAAAACATCACATTTGATAAATTACGTATCTGCATGTTTTTCTATAGCAGACAATGTAATGTAAATGGATAATATCAAACAGCATAATCACAGGTTGTGATTTATAGCTTGGTATCCAAATTTATTCTCAATTTTGTGATTTTAAATTCGATTAGGGCAGTAAATAGTCAGTCATTAACATTTTACCTTTGTACTGATACAATCATATGATTATTAAAAACTCACACTTATGGTCTGTCGTAATTTGTAGCTGACATCCTCAGCAAGATTCGTAGCGGCCTCAACGTTGAGCTCACATGCAACTTGTTCTGCCATGCAAAACACAGATTCAAGACCCACTCCAGCAAATCGGCCTTGTGATGACGGTCCATCCTAGCAACATTTCAACTAATTATTATTATTGTACACACTTTTCCATAAAAAATTTATAGCAATTTTTAATGATTTGTCAATTCATAGTCCCAAAACTTTAGAACAAAGCAGATTTAATTAAAAATGGCTAGCATATTATGAACTTTGGAGAAATAAGAATGTACAAAATACTTATCACATAATTAGAAAAAGCACTTATTAGATACATACTTAATAAATTAAAATTCTTGACTACTTTTACGTTCGTTTGTGTTTCATAACATATATGTCTTATATTAAATGGGTAATATGGGAACGACATCAATTATTCATCATTCCGATCCAATTGCTCGGCTCGCATCACTGAATCCATCATCGGAAATTTCTTTGATATTAAAAGAAGTTTTTACTAAAATTTGGTACATAGCCTACCTTGTCATTGAGAGGTGGTGTATCGCACTGACTAGATCCAGATTCTGAAGGCACAGATTTGTTTTTATCACGATCACGGCTACTTGTGGATTTTTTCACATGATTTTTATTACTAGATGTGTTAGACATTGTTTACGTTGGGTCTTGTTGTTTTTATTTACTCATAATTGTGATGAAATGATCATGCTTGTTTAAAAAAATATACAGCTTGTATTATAACATTACTAGTTGTTGAAATCAACTACAACTATATTTTTTGCTTTATACATTTAAGACGCAAATATTATTTAAATTTTCGTTTTCGTATATTGCCAATATTTCTACACACAATTAACACAGACTACTAAGAAGCTTTAAATGTCAATGATTTTTTTTTAAGGGATTTTATGATCTGGTAACTGAGACCTTTAAGTCATGTCTTATTTTAATGTATATTCATATTTTTATGAAAAAATGATATTATGGAGTGAAATGAAATGAAGATGATTAATTTGAGACATTGATCAACTGGGATGAAATAAATGAGATGATATGAGATGAAATATAATCTCAGTAAAATGGTGGTCATTTACTAAGATTTTTTCAGTGGACTTTTTGGAGGATCCCGAGAAGTTACGTCCAGCGGCTTTGTTGCATTTTCTCAGATTTGTGCACTTTCACGGATATTAAACAGTTAATAAACCACCGTTATTACACATTTAAACCTGAAGAAACACTAAATAGACAAAATAAAACAAATCACACAATTTCACTCCTCGCGTTCCCGCCAAAAAGTCAAATGTCAATGATGAAAAATACCCTAATATAGATTAGAGTAAAATCTATACAATACACTACCTAACTAAATAATACATCTGTGTGTAAATAAATTTAAAAATGTGCACTTTACCCTTGTACGAAGTGTGCAAGCTTTATGTGCATCAAAAATAAGTAATGTATTCTAGCAATACAGCAAATCTAAATATCCCTTTTTTACACACAGCTGAACGAATGAGCTCTTGATGTTAGTGATTACCAGACCTTAAACATAAAAATTTGAATGCCGTCACCCAACTTGAAAGACGAGGTCTCAGTTGTACAATAATTACGCAAATTTATATTTTCGCGGGTTTGGTTTTCATTACACAAGGCTGTTCTCCCATCGTAGAAGTCCTTCGTGAACATATGGCAATACACGTGTTTCTTTAGAAACATTGCTAGGTACCTGCCTGCTGAATATAAGCACTGGCATAGCACCGCTTATAATTGTTCACGTTCAATGTGTTCAGACAATCGTCACCGATTAATTGATCCGAATAGATTCCAGTCCATCCAAATCTTTATTACTACTCTATATATAGTTTTTTAATACAATATGCCAAGAATTTCGTATGATATTAAAAACCATAATTACCATTAATTTTGCTGTGTACAATTATTTCGAGTTCGTATCGCTTGTTTAGCTTCAAAGGTTGCATTATTTGACGTGTTTGTTGCGTTTCATACTATTTACCTAATTTAAAAAATACTAATAGGCCATGTCTGCGTAGACAGCGTAGACAGCGTTTGGCACTACTATGTTCTATGAATAACGACAAACTATAACCATCAAGTAGAACGTACGCTTATAGCTTTATCTTTTAGGAAGGTAAAGAGCCCAGGGTCCATTTAGCATCGAAGCCCACTGACTTTATAACATACATGCCCGCACCCATAATGAGGTCTTAATCTGAATTTATTTTATTGCAGAGTGTTCCATCTTACAATCGGGAACTTATTACTGACCCCATCAGAAATAGGCTGGGTATTTACCTCAGTCTTACCAATAACTTACCAATGTTCAGAAATACGTTGGTAATTTCAATTCGCATATCATCTTCAGGGTTTAGACGCGAGCGGTATTTCCTTTTTATTGAGACTGATTTGCTAAGTCCAATTTCACATGAACATGTTGATGCAAAACGTATTAAAACTATCATGGCATATTTGTTTAAAACGAAACATTTCTTTGGCCCGGATTACCAAAATTTTAGGCAACACTCAATCTTAATTTGTTTCTGAAAAGTAGCATCTAATCATATTGTTGCGCGCTGGGGTTTGGGATAAATAAAATTCCACCAAAGTATGTACTACTAAAATCGGTATTCAACACTTAGAACAGTTAAACACTTCACAAACACTTTCACAATTCGCTTCTTCCGCTTCGCTTCAGGTGATTCGTTCGCTGTTTCGCTTCGAGTAGTTCCGATTACTGACTAACTGCGTGCCATCCCCTACAACGCTTTTATAGTCGATACCACATCCCTAGAGTTATCGAGAATATTCCACATATCTCTAATATTGTTTCCGCTATCTGACAATAGACGACGTTGTACTTCTCGAGCGTTCTAGGTGCTACTAGATACTTCGATATTCGTTCGACTGTTCGGCGATAGATGGCGTTACTCTTACCGGCGTAGCAATATATAACGGAAAAAGTTTAAAGCAGAAGAATTGGAAGCATCACTCGATGAAGAGCATACCAGATGAAAGAACAGCTTGTAGAATGATTGGGTATGGATCAAGCAACCATTTGCTGGCATTTAAGGCAAGGAGATAGTGCCGTCCGAATGGAAATCGAGCGACGTCGAAAGGCCTTTTTTACGCGCGAACAACTGCTCGAACGACAGAAAAGCTTTTTTGTATTGGATTGTATTATAAGTAGAGACGAAAAATCGATAGACTATAATAATCCCAAGAAAAAAAGTACTACGCCAAATCTTGGTCAACTGATGCTATCGATGTCTACATGGACTCCAAAGCAAACGATCCCCGAGTCTTCTGGCGTCTGAGGGGCCGTCGTGACGCCTAGATAGCGCATAACTGCTTTATGTTACGACAAATCGTCGCACAAAATTTATGTCGTCGTGGCCTAAAGGATAAGACGCCCAGTGCATTCGTATCAAGCAATGCAACGGTGTTCGAATAACACAGGCCAACAAGTACCAATGTTTCTAATGAAATACGTACTTAACAATTGTTCACGATTGACTTCCACGGTGAAGTAATAACATTGTGTAATAATAAAATCAAACCCACCGGTAGGCTCCGGCCTATTTCTGCCACAAACCAAAAATGCGTTTCAGTTTGAACACCAGGTGGGCAATGAGCTCGTCCAACCGTTTAAGCAATAAAAAATCTTACTTTTTCTTGTTCATATATAAAAATGTGCTTAGTGCGAGTTTTTGAACGTTCTCGATAGCGTAAAAGTTAACTCAAAATTGTATGGAGTTGGAACAGCACCCCTACTATAGTAAATTATTTTGTCCGTGCAGTTTGGGTCATAAATAATCAGAGCGGTGAAGCGAGTATTTCGCTCTCTCTTCTGCTCACGAGCCTTATGGACGGGCATAGTGATGCGCATTATTGTTGTCGATAAGGGTTATCGATAGTGTATTTAGTTTAGTCATTTTATGGGTTAGTGATAAAAATGAAAGAAAAAATCACTAATCGAACACTTACACCATATATCGCCTAAGTAAGCTAACGAGAATGGCAGAAATTAACACTTTGTAACTTTTCGGAATCTACTCTTATTTGAGTGAAAATTTTTAACACGTTGTTGATAATAACACGTGCTTGTGCTGGTATATTTTTGCCAACAAGCAAAATATTTGAATAAAATTTGCCGTTTTGGTACAAAACAATGGAGTAGCCATTGTGTCACTATAATGTACTATAATTTGCAGGTAGGTACAACAAATTACTCATAACATAACAATGTCTCACCACCCTTCGTATACCACCCCGCCGCCCTGTACCTGCCTTCGATGACTCATTTGTTTTCAGCGATAATGGCGTTGCGCCTGCGCAACATGCTCACCACCCTAGCCGGGCTGTTTTATGACCCAAACTGCACGGACAACATAATTCTACTATAATTTGTATGTAGTTGAACAGCGCCCCTAGCGGCAAACGTAGGCAAACATTCCAACTCCATACAATTTTGAGTTAACTTTTACGCTATCGAGAACATTCAAAAACTCGCACTAAGCACCATAATTGCAAATAATCAATATGGCAATCGAAGCCCACATACACGACTTTGAGATATTGCCCCAAAAATTAGTTGTTTTAGGATAGTTAATGATTATCCGAATGCAAGGTTAATCCCTGACTGTAACAGGAAAGTAGTGGCAACACCAAGCGTTGTGCATTCACGCCAAAGATTCCGATTTTTAGGCAAAGGGATAACTAAATAAAACTTACGATGCTTGCTTAATCTCGTTTATATTTTCAAAATAAAAAGAGCATATTGAAATAATTGGGCAGGTAACTGCTACTAGACAAAACAACTTGAAACAGCCGTAGATGTTTACAGAAGGCACACAATTTTCTCATAATCTAAATCATCATCACCATCATCATATATTCTTATTTACAAACAGTTTTCATATTATTTATTCCTCTTTATACAAGCTTTTCATAAATCTAAACACGACGAATATAAAAAATTCATCAAAATAAATGATTCCGTTTTCCTTTATCTGTACAAACACTTTATATTGCAGCTTAAACGCGTTACAGCTAACTTAAATAAATCTAACCTCGCTTTATGTTCTTATACACTACGTTTTGCAATATATCGGCATTAAAATAATATTTTATGTTTCTTCATCTATTTATAGGCACATTCACTGTCAATTGAAGTCTCAAGAAGTAAGTGGACAAATATATAGAACTAATAAATATTGTTTTTGCTTCATAAGTCTTGCTTTAGAGAATAAAATCGAACTGTAACAGAATGATTTAAAAATGCCGCCACTTTAGAAAAATATACATCTTCAAAAATATGTATTTAACTTTTGTTTTGTTTAAGTAACATCATTATTTTATCAGTTGCATATATTCGCCCAAGTACAATGATTACCATTACATTACAATAAGTAGATTTAACTTTAGGTTTTTATTTTGTAATTTAACACCTTATGTAATCACGGCAAGGCACCCTTGGTTAAAGTGGGGGGCGATACGCTCTCGGCTATGTGTTTAAATATCACAGTGGCATACCGGACTAGGACTAATCGATTTAGTCGATTATGGCAATTCATTCGAAAAAACATTCTACTACACTACTCTAATAGATTAATCCTGAAATTTGTATGTCACAGCAAACGCATGAATGCATCAGGAGGCATCCAATGATTGCTTGTTAACTGAATGCGACGAATTTAAATCAAAAAGTTATTGTATAATGTAATTTCTTTTAGCAATAAATATTTTCTGACTTGTGAACAAGATTCAATAAACAAGTTTCACAGAATTTGTCAAATAAGGCGCATTAATATTGCTTTTTAAATAAGACACTTATTCTTGTGGAATTTTAATAGGACACGAATCTGTCATATTATCGGGGCAATTTAATATTATCATATTTTCTAAAATATTAACATAATTTCAAACAGGTATTAACTGGTTGTTAACAAAATTTTGGAATTTCGATGATTAAATTTATTTTAGATTTGCCGCCAAAGGGACTTACCGTTATTAACGTCAAATGAAAATGACAGTTTCGTAAAATTTGTAAACAAATGGCAATAAAAATTAAAGAAGGGCAATTATTATGGCTTTAATTTTTTCAAACTATATTTTTTTAAAGGAATGCCTAAAATTATGGCCACACGTTGCGTAGGTATTCATAGATTTTTGAAGTTAATTGTCTATATCGATAGCACAGTATTCTAAGCCTCTAGAGCCGTCAGAGCATTCGCCCGCCACTGTTCACGGGTAATCACGTGATTCGTTTGAAGAGGGACCTCGTCATGTGACGCAAGCCTGCTAAATTCGGACACTGGGCGTCCAAGTCACTAATGTCCAATTTCAACAACCTCAATAAATTAGGGCACAAAGATTTCAGATGTTTATGAGCGTCGTAGTGATGTGAGCTCGGAAAATTCGATATCCGCAAATCGGAATGCGAATTATGACACGTTCTAGTCTTGAAGCATTTGTTCCTTACATTCGAATGGTCATGGCATTTAGAATAGATCAATTTTAAAAAGTCTCTTTGCGTAGTATTCAAATCTATTAAATTCGCCATGTCTTCTTGAGTATACTGAATTAATCTCAATAAATTCGGACAACGACTTTTCAAATTTCTATACGCATCCGTGTTTAAGTACGATAAATTCTTGTATATTTCTGTATATGAATTCGCAGAGTTCGCGCACTGATTATTAACATTTTTATGACATTGGCAACATCTATTTCTAGATTCCTTAGACGTATCAGACTGTAACCTTAATGAGTTTGTATATAGAAGACATTTTTTACGAGGACTACAATGTATATTCAAGTCTTTATGCATACCAGAAATTAAATTCATCGTTTTCGGGCTTTCGCTTTTACGATTCCTATAAAAAAACGAATCTTCGTGGACACCAGAACACTTATCGGGGTCCAAACTCGAACTGGGCTGGTCGGGGCAATGAAAGATATCTCTATTAATGTCGCTGTACAAACCTGAGGCTGGTCTTAGTGTGTCGTGTGAGCTCATCGATTTCGGGCATTTGATTAGCGTTTGACGGAATTCGGTGCGGCGGAGGTAGGTTCGGGTGGGGCTCGAGGCCGTTTGTTCGTCGCGATGTTCCTTCGAGCGCGGGGCGGCGTGCAGGGGGGGCGGGGGGAGAGGCGGCTCGTGACGTCAGTCGGAGTCGCTGCCCGACTCGGACAGGCAGAGATCATCGTTGAGCACGTCGCTCGGGAACGACGGGTTGCTTACGTTACCTGGAAAATTATTTAATAATTTATAGAACAGTTATGAAAAAAAAATTCAAATTCAATAATGGGTTTAGCTCTAATATTGTTGATTACAAACCAACAGACAGGTTCGAACATTTTATTTGTAATAGTTAAGTAGTATTCAACTTAGAAAAGCATGGTTGTGTTTTTAGTGCATAGATGGGTGGACGAACAACTCACAGCCCACCTGGTGTTAAGTGGTTAACAGGGCCCATAGGAGACATCTATAACGTTAATGCCGCCACCCACCTCGAGATATGAGTTCTAAGGTCACAGTACAGTTATAACGGCTGCCCCACCATTTAAACCGAAACGCGTTACTGCTTCACGGCTGAAACAGGCAGGGTGGCGGTACCAACCGTGTGGACCCACAAGAGTTCCTACCACCAGTAAACTCACAAGAGTTCCTATCACCAGTAAACTCACAAGAGTTCCTACCACCAGTAAAATCACAAGAGTTCTTCCCACCTGTAAACTCACAAGCGTTCCTACCACCAGTAAACTCACAAGAGTTCCTACCATCAGTAAACTCACAAAAGTTCCTACCATGAATAAACTCACAAGAGTTCCTACCACCAGTAAACTCGCAAGAGTTCCTACCATCAGTAAACTCATAAAAGTTCCTACCATGAATAAACTCACAAGAGTTCCTACCACCAGTAAACTCGCAAGAGTTCCTACCATCAGTAAACTCATAAAAGTTCCTACCCTCAGTAAGCTCACAAGAGTTCCTACCACCAGTAAACTCACTAGCGTTCCTACCACTAGTAAACTGACAAGAGTTCCTACCACAGTAAGCTCACAAGAGTTTCTACCTGCAGTAAACTCACAAAAGTTCCTACCGCCAGTAAACTCACAAAAGTTCCTACCACCAGTAAACTCACAAGCGTTCCTACCACCAGTAAACTCACAAGCGTTCCTACCATCAGTAAGTTCACAAGCGTTTCTACCACAAGTAAACTCACAAGAGTTCCTACCACCAGTAAACTCACAAGAGTCCCTACCACCCGCATTTCTCCATCGAAACTCAATGAAACTTCAGCGATTATTTTGAAATGTTATTTACCGTTGGGTACAGCGTGGTTGATCGGCTGGTTGTGGCTGGCGGCTGTGTTGTCTTCAGAATCGCTACCGCTGTCCGAATCACTGCCGCTGTCGCTCGAAGAACTAGACGAGCTGTCGTCTTGTTCCACTTGCTGTAACATATTATATTGTTACACTAAATCCATTTTTATACAGGGTGATTTATTTTAGATCCTGGTATTATAGTACTGGCTGGATAGTACAGTTTTGATTTCATCTATTAGACGCTTAAGACATAGATGTGATCTGTCAAAGAATTCAACTGAATTCAATTCAAGAATAATCCGAACATATCTTTACATAACATAACTACGGTGACCATTCGTACTGTTTTTGGTAGGACAGAGATGTTTTGTATGACGCAGTCATTTAAAAAAAAAAAAAAAAACCATAATTGTCCTGTTTTTTATTTATTTGTAGTGGTTTTTTATTGAAATTTAAATTATATTCAAAAAAATATTTCAAGCCGTCGCTCATTTTTGGCTGAATATTGACCATATTAAATGGTCAATGTTTTGTAATAACCGATCTCGTGTTAATAAACGTATTTGTTATAGTCTTTTTTTCTCCTCGTCCTGCTTTTTTATTTAAAAACAATCGTCACTGTAAACACAACTAATATTTATATTTTGTCACTAGCCGTATGATTGTTCGCGACAGCAATATCGAAGATAGTTTTGCTTAGCCGAAAAGGCTCACAATATACATTACCGGTAAATACTTTACGCGGACTCCTAATATATATTTAATGTGAAGAGTTCAAAACGCACTCACCATTTGCTGTGGCGGAGGATGAGTATTGTTAGGAGGTCGCTCGACCGGCAGAGGGCGGTCGGGTCGCGAGTACCCATTGAGTGAGGGTGCGGGAGCCGCGGGGGCCGCGGGCGCAGGGGCAGAGGTCACAGGGGCAGAGGTCATAGAGGCAGAAGTCGCGGGAGCGGGCGCCTCGTCCAGACCGATCATGGGGAGGGACGCTAACGTGCTATTTCCGCCACCTGACCACCTGCGAATGAGGTAACCAGAACATCTCTAAACGTTTCTGAAGTGAAAAATAAAAAAGAGCCTTATGTGAGTAATGCTTAAATTAATCTCATATCTCTCATATATACTCTTTTTTTTTTAAGTGAAACTTCTAATGCGACTTCCAAAAAAGGTCCGCAAGATCGGGAATGTAGTTACCGGCGGCCACGATGAGAGGGTTCTCGTGTCGTGCAGCTTTGTCGAAGTGGTGAGTTAAACGTTTAACGCTACCACGGATTAGAAAGAGAGTGTGAGAGTGAGAGAGCGAGATTGAATGCGTAACACTCGAACGCATACGCGTAGTATACCTGCTACAGGCCAGCGCGAGCGTTAGCAACGAGTAGCGTCCAAAATTTTAATGAAGTATTTAAAAAAACATATATATTTATTTTTCTATCCATAATTTAAAACATATGAAATATAAATGTTGAAGATGTCGCATCTCTTATACACCGCATTACCTATTACAAAAGCAATCTGATTTAAGGATGAAAAATGAAGAAAACCACAATACTACACATCGAAAAAGAAGTTTCACTTCATTCACGTGCACCAAGTTACAGGCGCATTTTTTTTTTCTTATGAGCTGACTTAGAACACAACTACCCACCTATTATTACATTTTACAAAGTCCCAGAAACTTGTGGTTATACAGCAACAGGGCGATGACTTAGGTCAACAAGTGGACACAAAGGTTCAAAAGAAGCATTTAAAGAATTCTGATTAAGTTTCTATGGATCTTAAATCAAAAAATTTTCACCTTAAATTTCGTCCTAAAATCTAGATCTTTCTTCTGTTGATTACTAAAATGAAACTACCCACATACTAAACATTGATATTCTAGTGCGGACGGTAAATTAGTTTAGTTAAAAAAAATTAGTACATTTTCATTTGACTGGCTTACAATTTGATTTTTAACATTCATTTAACACCAGTTTTTATCACATCTAACTGTTTTCTATTATTTTGTAATTTATTCTAACTTCTATTACTCTGGAATTTAATATTATTATTACGATTATTATAATTTGAATTTGAAGATGAATATAATATTTATATTCATTCTTGTTTGCATATGTAATTGTGATCTAGCTTATTCAAATATATCCAATTATTAACATTGTTTATTGTTGTTTACTTTATTTGTGCAAGTTTCGGATTATCATATCGAGGGGTGAAAGGCTTAAACGATATTTTACAGGAGAGCCAGTTATAGGATAGAATTTGAAAAAAAAACCATAACAAAAAAACTTCTTCAGTCATTTGAACGGAGTAAACTTTATTGAAATTCAATTAAAAACATCAAATCGTTGATGCTTATACCATATAAAATTGATCTTTAATTACAAAGACGCATTATAAGCGTTTTAAGCGATATGTCACTTAAACCAAATAGCCTTTCTCCCTTCGATATGCAAATGACAGGTTTGCGCTGGTTTAAAATGTGAATGTATCTGAGAAACTTACGGCGCTTGGGGGGGTGAAGATTTGATCCTCTGCGGAGACCGTACCATATTTACAGGCGGTTTCTGAGTACCAGCTCCGTTGAAACGAGCCTGGTTGTTTGCTGGTACCCCTGGTCCTGTTAATTATTTAAAAAAAAATGAATTCAAAAACGGAATAGTCAGAAACAATGTTAAAATTAGATATATTATCTCCTATCTCAGGTCCTGTGTTAAAAGTCTGTCTGTACCCAATAATAAGTAACCAATTGAAGCCATGAGTGGAAGAAGGGGTTAAGTACAACTTTTTATGATTTTTTTAGTTTTTACATTGAATGAAAGTGTTATGTGCCCACAAACCATATTAGACTATAAAACTCCGGGTTTAAAGGCTATTTTTAGAAATTGCATGTGATGAAGGAATTATGTACAAAGAAAAAGTACAAGTAACAAAAGTTTGTTGCCCGTTTTCTCAGAATTAACAAATTCTATGATATTGCCTTTCCGGTCACCGTCCTCGTCGAACCCGTCGCTTGCGACGAAGGGCTCGACGAGCGAATTAACCCATAGACACAGCCCACTAAGTTTCTCGCCGGATCTTCTCAGTGATTCGCGTTTCCGATCCGGTGGTAGATTCTGCGAAGCACTGCTCTTGCTAAGGTCAGTGTTAACATCACTCCGGTTTGAGCCCCGTGAGTTCACCTACTAGTTAAGGTTACACTGAAATAGCCTCTCAAGGCTATCAGCTTAGGTAGGATAAAAAAATATATATCCCCTTCATCCATTCATGTCTTCAATTGTAACATTCCATTTTTTTATAAACGAACTTTAAAAAAAGGAATTTTAATTTAATATCCTTCCTTATTTAATTAATATTATAATATGTCTTTTTAGTTCAAGGCATACGTCACAGCCGAGCTGTTGACTGTCGCTGGGAACTCTCCTCAGATCTGGTTTGAAGAAAATCATGTCACAGCCCTCGACAAATATCGTGTAGGAGATTTCATTCTCAAAAATCCATTCTGCACTCCTTCTCTATATTCTCTATAAGTGTGGGAAATTTCATACTACTCCACCAGCGCAATTTTCGTAAAAAGGGATACAAAGTTTTTGCTTCACATATTATTTTTTTATAAGGGATTTTATGACCTGGTAGCTAAGACCTTTAAGTCATGTCTTATTTTAATTTATATTCTTAGTTTTATGAAAAATGATAATATGGAGTGAAATGAAATTAAGATGATTAATTTGAGACATTAATCAACTGGGATGAAATTAAATGAAGTGAGATGATATGGGATGAAATATAATCTCAGTAAAATGGTGGTAATTTACTGAGATTTTTTCAGTGGACTTTTTGGAGGATCCCGAAAAGTTGCGTCCAGCAGCTTCGTTTTATTTTAATGATAAACCACCGATATTACACATTAAAACACGAAGAAACACTAGATAGATAAAATAAAACAAATCACACAACTTCACTCCTCGCATTCCCGCCAAAAAGTCCCTCACATATTAATATATAGATACAGATATAGATTACCGGCATGAGGCGTGACGCGCTTGTTGGTCGCGACGCGAGTGCGCGAGGTGGACCTCTGCGTCGTGTTCGTGAAGTCGGCGGTCACAGGCGTTAGCGGCCTCGGCTTCTGTGTATTCTCTTGTCTATGGCAAAAAAAACATTTGACATAATTCAAAATATTAAAAAGAACTACAATTTTTAACTCGTAATATCTATATAGATACAGTTGTATGTAATCGGAGTTTATTTTTATTTTTTATAGCCTTGATGTATGGACGAGCTCACGGCCCACCTGATGGTGAGTGGTTACCGTCTCGCATGGACTACAGCAATGAGCCTACCATGATGCTGCCCACTGTAAATTTCAATTCAATTAAAAGTAGCATATTTTAAAATAGTATTGATCGCATGGATGGGTGAGCAAATCGTATGGTATTAAGAGAATACTGGAGCCAATAGGCGTCACAACGGGAATTCCGCCACTCACCTTGTGACGTGAGATCGAAATCTCAATAAAACTACAAGGGCAATAAATAAATAAAAATTCTCAACTCCAAAAAACAATGTTTGAAAAGAGTCTCAAGCTGTAGGCGGTGGCAGAGCTCTATCTTTGTCTACGATAGGCGACGGTAGCCGTTTCCCACTAGCCAATCAAAAACCTTTTTATCTAAATATTTTTTGCTGTTAAAATAAATATCAGCTTATGAGATTGTCATTGAAGCGAGTATATTATTAATTTCATCTGTTATCGCGTATTCAACTTTATCAAAATCATATAATTTATTAATTGATAAAACTGATCATAACAATTTCAATAATGTCGACAATGACCCAGTTTACAATTATTAATTTTCGTATTTTCGATCCAATAAAATACAATTTAATAAGTCTAATGTATCTTAGACTTGCAATGCGATTCAAATGTATATTTATAGATCTAAGTATGTATATATGTATGTGTATGTGTATGTGCATATATATGTATGTTTGTGTATATAGTTCACTGGATTGGTACTACACCGCACGTAATTCGTTTACAAATTATTCTTGTCCACCTGATGATTATTTGGAAGAGATCGCTCTTACCGATAAGACCGCCTATTTTACTTCTTTTTGTATTTAATGTATCGTATTTTTGTTTTGGTGTACAATAAAGAATACTCTTTCTCTCTCTCAAAATGAGTTTTACCTACCAATGGCAATATAGTCATCCTAGTCATGGAAATTGTGGAAAAACAACTTTCAGGTTTTTTTCTGTAGCTTGGCAGGTGAGCGTCCTCACGGCGTATAGGGTATATATAAGGTTACATAACAGCCGATAGATTTCATAACGCGAATTTCATCACACACCTGAAGATATCATGTCAAAGTCTCACTTGCATAGTATGACAGTTATCTCACCCATCAAAAAGGAAAGCATGGCTGCTTTAGATTAAAAAAAGCAGTGCGATTTCATATATGCCCTACCACTAGCATACATACGTAGATAGGCATTTCAAGCCGGCAATCTCTGGATGGCAAAACAAGTTCAATCTTATATTATCAAAATTTAATGGTTGTATTTTCCGCCTATCTGACATAGCACTGTGATCATACAAATATATTTAAATCTTCCTCTAAATGTCTCATATTTATATCGTATTGCCTAAACTCCAACAATTTATACATATTAGGCGTATTTCATGTGTTAAGATATAGAGTGTTTCAGCTGTAAAGTACTAACCTCGTCTTTTTAACCTGTATGTTGTTTGAGAGCTTTTCAAGAGTAATCTCCCCGGTGACCTTATCTATTATGAGCACGCATTCTTTTGTGTATGGTTTCTGGTTTCCCTTGAAAACAGTCTGTGGGACACCTGCACCCACTGGAAAAAGAACAAGGATATTTTAATCATTAATAATCATTAAGAGTAATTGAACATACTCTGCTGAGCTTAACATCTACTGTGCTACTGAGTTTAGATTTCTTCTGAAATGTTCTCCAGACCCAATTTAAGAATGCATACTTATTTAATAAAATATTAAACTAGGAAAAAATATAGAGCAAAAACAAGCATAGCCTCTCAAAACAATATTTTTATATATAACAATAATACCTAGACTATTATTTTTAATTTAAAAAACTGAATTCACATTTCTCATAAAACATATTTTCATAATTTTTTTATTTGCTTTTATTTTACACACAGAAAGTAATAACTCTAACACTAAAGAACGGACTCCAACTTAAATACAATTGTGATATTTTCCTTATGCTTATTGTGTAATCAAATATGTACTCACTGAGATGAGGCACTGTGACGGTCACCTCATTTTTGGTACCGACTGTAACAGTTGCCATTTTATTGACATCCACTGAAGCAGGTTTGAAGTCATCTGGAATGATTACGCAAATAAATTATTTTATTCATTTCGATCTGTCTAAACAGATACAGATTGCAATATAAAATCAAGTACCAATACTTGATTTTATATTGAAAATTCTAGTCATTGTTCTTCTTCTTCGTCGCTTCCTCATTGCTGAGGTCACGACCCTCCCACCTTGGTCCAATTCTGCACCAGCTACTTTGATTTTTGACTTTTCTCATGGTGGTTTTCTTGGAAAAATAATAACGGTAGCTTCCCATTCCTTTCCGTCCCAAAACTTTTTAAAGGGATTTAGTCATTAATTAAATTGTATGAATTTGATGGTAAGTAGTTACAGGAGATCATGAAAGTTGCGCCAGGCCTGGCTGAGCCAAGGGCAATTAACACACTTCAAAACTCATTAGAATAAGGACATGATTCGTGAAGGACGTCTATGTAACAAAAATAGACAGAAAAGAGGTACTGAATCATCTAGATTCATAAGACAACGTACCACCAGTAATGATGCAAATTTTACAGTTTTAATCTACTACACAATTTTATTCTTTCATGATCATAGTAGTTCCTGAATATATCGTCTACTCGCATTAAAACTGTATAATCTCAAAACTTACTAATTTTACAGGAGAGTGTTTTAAAGGTTTAACATGTAATATTTTTAATATTAATCATCTTTGCAACATTTATTTTTTATTTTTTACCAGTTACATGATCTGTCTTTTAAAGTAAGACAAAATTATGTATTAATTTTGTTAATATTAGTCAAAGCATAGGTAAACTAAAAAAAAACTAAATCCAAACTACGCTCTTTTGACAGTATTTATGAGAAAAATAATGGTGATATGAAATGTTTACGCATATTAACTCAATTTCGAATATATTTGGAAATTGTACACTTTTAATGCAAAAAGGCGATAAGTTAAGCATTTTCAGCTTATTGGAAAATCTGATGCCAGCCTGCGCGATTTGTACAACAGACATTTTATCCTAATTATTATATTGGTTATGAAACGATTTTTACTCACACTTGATTGTATGATATTGGGAAGCCTTATTATTAGTGAAGCTTGTGCCCAATTTCAATTCCCTCACATCATAGTTTGGGCCGTGTTTATCTGCCATGATTTCTGCCACTTATGCCATATATCAAGTTTCTGCAAAATTAATGCCAAAAGATATAGTACATTATAAAATATTACATTATTATCTTATAGCAATTAATCCTGAATTAATTTCCTTAATATAATAATATATAAAAAATGTAAAAATATTTTAAATTTAATTAATAAAACAATGTAATTTACCATCCAGTAACTTTTTTGTTGTAATGTATTCCAAAACAAATAATCACTTCAAAACTTTTTATTTAAAAATATGAAATTAAATATATTTGTGTAACACTAGCTGTGCTTTAAGTTACAATAAGAAACAAACTGAAGAGATTTAATAAAATATTACATTAGGATTTTTATAACAACTCAATAATTAAAATGTAACTAGGAAACACTTTTTATGCATTGAAAAAGGAACATATATACAATGCTAATTACTTTGTTTTTGTGTTTTGTGAAAGCAGTTTTAATTGAGTATTCCCAATATAAAAGAATACTTCCAAATTTGATTTTTTTTAATAACTTTTTTTTTTCTAGAAACATCATTTATTTAACTAGGTATATCTTGCGCTTGAAAATGTTATTGGAACTATTTCAAAGTGTTTAGGTCATTAAATGATTCTGAAATATTAAAAGAATGTACGAAACCAGACTTAAGTGATAAGAAAAACTAATTTGAAATACTATTTACAATATTTGTCCGTTTTATTATGCATACGTATCTCTACATTCACTACAGCTGACAAAACTAGGTCTACAATATTCTTCACAACACAACTTTTGAGCGTTTAAAGAGAGATTATTGAATTTTATATTACTACGTGTTGTTCCGTTTTGGCAATCAAATTTTTGACTAATTCTTAATTAAAAATCATAAAAGAAAGTTCAATTAGATAAAATATGGCAAACAAATTCTAAAGACGAACTACCTAATACTTACGTTTTCTTCGCTTTTCGCTGAGGTTATAATGGGTCCCTTATTTTTTTGAATCGATAGTCATCATCAGTGAAGCTTACTGTGAGCTAATTTATTAATATGTTCACGAAGAAGTGCTCATTTATGTATTTTAATAATCCAAAAGTTAGACATGGATCATTCCTTCGACCTAGTTCGCATGACGTTTAAAATAGAGATGTACTATAAACTTAAAAGTCAGAACTCCGACTACTGAGAAATAGTCGACTACTTTTGAGTAACTATTTTGCTCTGCATTATGGATTTGATAAACGTACATTGAAATAACTTTTTGATATACTGATGAATACAAAACACTTAAATATTTTATTAATTTAATATTTCTTCAGGTTTCTTCATAATGGCTTATTGAGATCTAAGTTTTTTATTGCCGTTGTAGGTGAATAAGCACACAGCCCATTAGTATTTGTGAAATTGTGAAAATCAAAGAAAATCGCTGGACGTAGCTTTTCACTAAGCAGATCTTAGTAAATTTTAATTACTGAGACGTTATTCCATTTTTCCAACATATATGTTGTTATCTTATGGTAATACATATACATAATTCTATTACATAGCTATTTTTACTAAATTTCAATAGCAGCTTATTCCATTTCACTTTTCATACAACAAATTGTTTCAGCCTTTGTTATTAAATGTTTGGCAGTATGAGCCATGTTCCCTTTACTTGTCCTATTAACAAATTAAACGAAAAAGTAATAGGATTATCATATTTTTTTGTGGGATTTTATGACCCCTGGTAACTAAAACCTTTAGGTCAAGTCTTATTTTAATGATTCGTAACTTTTCTTATGAAAATGATATTATGAAATGAAATGAAGTTGATTATTATGAAACATGGCATGAAGCGAAATGAAAACGAAATGAAATGAGATGATAGTTGCCTTGGTGGCTTTCCCACCAGAACTGGTGATTTTTCGAGACGTTTAGCGGTATTTTTTCATTATATAGCGTTTTTATTATTTTTAGTGGTTTTTGACGGTTTTTCAGGTATCTGGCAACATACTTTTGATAGGGAATTCCCTTAATATTCCGTTTTTTCCAATGAAGTAGGAAACCTATGGAAATGAAACGTCAACCAAAATTTCGTGCCACTGTGACGTCATCTGGCCACAAAACATGGCGGCTTTAGTGCTGTACAAAAGATTTCAATGTTATCAGGTTTTATCGATAAACCTTCTTGGCTCATTTTGTTTTAAATATTGTTGAGTATTATTTATTTGTAGAATTTATACTTTAATGGGAAGTAAGTAGGTATATTGTTATGTGCAAATATGATATGATTTAGATGGGTGAAATCTAAGACAAGTTCGTTCTTCGAATTTTCCAAGTAAACGATATGATGATTTTTAAAAGTTGCTACACTGATTTTATAAAGTTGTCGTTTGTCGCAAAACATAAATATATGGCGTAGTTCAAAGCCATCAGCCCATTTCTAGCATGCTAAATGTTATCGTATTTTGAGTACGTGTTTTTCTTAGACTATAACAATCTATTTTAATTGTTTTGCTGACTCTAAAGTCCGTAACATACTACCGCAGCGCACCCCAAGGAAGGTGCGCCGCACCATTTGAATCACTTTCGCTTGAGAGTGATTAAAAT